AATTAACCATAGAATGATATACATTGTTCTTAAAATCATTGGTCAAATTTTGCTTTTTGAAAAATGCAATCTAGTTTTAGGAATCATGTCTTGCACCTTATCTATTCTAAACGATCCAGATTGAGTTGCTAAAAAGTTATAACATCATAAAATCAGAGAAATGTCCCGACATTCTCAAGCTCTAGTCGATTAACCTTAGAGAATGCCTAGTCTATAAAGTATAAAATTTTAGAAATTAACCAATGATATTGTTGATATAAATTTTTAAAACTTGGACGTAATCATTTTTTGTAATTATGGGAGCACCCAAATGTTTTTGTAGTGTAATGGCCAGTGGGACAATTTATGATCGAGCATTGCATTATTATTTGACTTATAAGTAAGGATATCCTTTTCTCATTTTGGTTGCTCCTTCATTGTAAGGCCCACTTTTTTTATAAGGATTTTCGTTACTTTATTTTGGGTGTTAGTTTGTGTCTCTACCTATAGAAATGGATCGAATCAAGTTTCGCATAGAATCAAAAATCTACGAAATGGGCACTCTCTTGTAGTTTATTTTCATATTATTAATAATTAAAGTGATGGTTGCTCGTATCGTACTCAGCCTATAGGATTTAAAGTATAATGTAAATAGATCAACATCTACTAATTAAAGCTAAATCTTACAATTAGAATCAAACGGTAATTGTTTTAAAGCTTACAGAGTTCAAAATAACTAAACCGCAAATTTAGTGTATAAAAAGGTGATAAATGTACACCGATTCTTTCAATTTACGTATATTTAGAAATTTGGTACGTATATCTAGAATAGTTGTTCTATATACAATTCACATTTCTAAATATCATACATTAAAGGATTATTATTGAACTGTCTTTTTAAGCCATATTCATTTCAAGATATATATATATTGACGCAATCACAAAATATAAACTGATTTATTTTTCTAGTTCAGTTTAAAAATACTCTTCAAAACAAATATTAGAGCTGTATATATATAATAAAAATCATGAAATTAAAAGTATCACTATTTTTTTGTCCTTACGATACATCTACGGGAAAAAAAACGAAATATAATGATGGACGGGGTTAATGGGAGAAATAATGTAACCGTAGAAGTCTGTCACTTTAAGGATTGAATGTTCTTATTAAAAAAAAAAAAAGAATAGAGACAAAAACGGATGGATAATGTAACGTTATGAATGAAGCACTCATACATGCATGTGACTGTACCGTTTATTTGGTTCCTCTCAAAATCGCAACAATAATTTAGAAGAAGCACAAAAAAACTAGTGGTCGTCTAAGTAATGAGTATACTCGTTGGTCCATCACCAGCAGAAAAGAGCAAAAAAAATGGGACACAAGAAAACGATTACGGTTTTGACATTTTCTTTACGTCGGTCAATTAGAAGCAGAAAAGAGAATAAAATTGGGACAGTAGAAATCGATAGTTTCTATACACGTCGGTCAATCACTAGCAGAAAAGAGCAAAAACTTGGAACATCATAAAAAGATGATCGTTTTTGATATTTTCTGTACACTACTTCTAAAATGTTGCCGTTTTGAAAGTCTTGACAAGAAAGAGTTATGATATGCAACCTATGTTTATTATAATTTTTTGTCCTTTTTGTGATTTTTTTTCTTTTCTTGATAAGACGGAAGTTGACACTAGCGGAATGGTTCAGTCTTCAATGTTATAAAATAATA